GTCTGCCCAAAATTCAAGTTGAAATCGAATCCCCACTGTGATGGGATTAAGAGGTAAGGCCATTAGGAAGTGATTAGATCATGAAGGTGGAGCCCTCATGAGTGGTATTAGTGCCTGCAATCGTTTGTAAGTTTGCCCCCTCTAAATCTCAAGTTGAAAGTTAATCCCAAGTGTGGCAGTGTTGGAGGTGGGGTCTCATTGGAGGTGTTTGGGTCATGGAGGCAGGTCGCTCATCAATAGATTAATGTCCTCCCTCAGGAGTGAGTGAGTTCTCAGTCTGTTAGTTTCCCCAGTGCTGGTTGTTAAAAAGAGCCTGGCACCTCTCCTCTCTCTCTCTTGCTTCTGCCCTCACCACCTGATCTCTGCACACACCAGCTCCCCTTCATCTTCCCCCATGAGTGGAAGCGACATGAGGCTATCACCAGATGCAGATGCCCAGTCTTGAACTTTGCAGCCACCCAGAATAGTGACCCACATAAAGATTTTTTTTTTCTTAATGGAGACAAGGTCTTGCCCTATTACCCAGGTTGGAGTGCAGTGGCTCAGTGATAACTCACTGCAGCCTTGAATTCCTCCCACCTCAGCCTCCCAAGTGGATGGGACTACAAGCACATTTCACAACACACAGCTAATTTTTTTAAATTTTAGTAGAGATGGGGTCTTACTATCTTGCCTAGGCTGGTCTTGAACTCCTGGCCTCAAGCAATCCTGCTGTTTTGGCCTCCTAAAGGATTAGGGTTACAGGATAAGCCTCATGCCTGGCCAGTTTTTAAAATAAAATAAATTACTCAACCTCAGATGTTCCTTTTAGCAACACAAAATGGACTAAGATAGTGCCCTTATATAAAATAAATACATTAAAAAAAAAAAAGCCCAGGGAGCTCCTCGTCCTCTCCTTCCACCATGTAAGTTGGCAGCAACAAGGCACTGTCTATAAACTGGAAAGCAGGCCCTCATCAGACACTGAATCTGCCAGAAACTTGATCTTGGATTTCCAGCCTCTAGAACTGTGAGAAGAAAACTTTTCTTGTTCAAAAGCCACCCAGTTATGGTGTTTTGTTTTAGCAGCCTGAGCTGACTATGAGGAAGACAGACGAGGAAAGCACAGGGTAGGGGATAATTGTGAAAACCCAGTTGCACAGATTATCTCTTTGCAACCAGGGAGAGTCTCAGTATGAATAATCCTATTTTACTCTAAATGGAGAGGAGGGAGGAGTTCACTTACATGTCTCAGCTTCATCTGTTCTTTCACTGTGCTCTTTCCCACAGGAGATAGAAAAATGGTTAACGGTGGCTCACGTCTGTAATCCCAGCACTTTGGGAGGCTGAAGTGGGCAGATCACTTGCAGTCAGGAGTTCAAGACCAGCCTGGCCAATATGGTGAAACCTCGTCTCTACTAAAAATACAAAAGTTAGCCGGGCATGGCAGTGTATGTCTGTAATCCCAGCTACCTGAGGTTGAGGCACAAGAATTGCTTGAACCTGGGAGGCGGAGGCTGCAGTGAGCCAGTGAGCGGAGATCAAGCCATTGCACTCCAGCCTGGGTGACAGAGCCAGACCCTGTCTCAAAAAAAAAAAGAGAGAGAAATTTATCTGCCTGTCAGGAGGAGGTGGAGGAAACCACAGCCTCCTTTCTTTCCAGGTGGTCACAAGTATGAATTCACTCACATACACACACTGCTGCTGCCTGAGAACCTCAGCATCACATCCATTCAGCTCCTTTTGACTCCTTTTGACTCAGTGAGGTAGGCAGAATCCCAAAATAAATCCCCCGTGACACACACTCCTGCAGAATCCCCTCCACTGGAGTGCAGGCAGAACCTGGTTGCAATTTCACTAAATTATGTTATATGGTAAACATGAAGGGATTTTGCAGATGTAATTAAGGTCTCTAATCAGTTGACTTTAAGCTCACTTGGGCCTGGCCTAATCAGATAAGCCTTTACGAAAGGGTCTAAAGGTCACTTAAAAAAACATGCTAATCATGCTCTCCTGTTGGCCTTAAAGACGTAAATGGCCATTGTAGAGAAACCTGTGCCAGAGAAAAGGCTTCCAGAAACTGAAGACTGTAGGCTTTAGTCCTCCAACTGCAAAGAGTTGAATTCTGCCAACAACCAGTGAGCTTGGAAGAGAATCCTGAGCTTCAGCTGAGATCACAGCTTTGGTTGCCCTCTGATTACAGCCTGGTAAGACCTCTGACCCAGAAAAACTGTCAGATAATAAATTTATATTGTTTTGAGTCCCTACATTTGCAAGAACGTGCTATGCAGGAATTGAAAACTAGTATGATAAAATAATAATAATGGCTTTTACTGAGCACTTATATTGTGCTAAATATTTTCAATTGCTTTGCCTCATTATTCCTCACAACAACCCCTTGAGTTTGGCACTATTATTATTCCAGTGTAACACACGCAAAATTGAGGCTTAGGGAGAAGTCACAGAACTGAGGGTGGGATACAGCAGGGACTCTGAAGACAAGGAATTTGAGCATTACACAACGCTGCCTTCAATTAGAGGAGGCGTCCCGCATCAGAAGCTGTGCACCTGAGACTCCTCTTCATAATTATGAAGGCTGCTCTCCCCCCCCCTTAATCTCTTAAACATGCACTCTGGCCCCAGGCCCCACCAAGTAGTGCCTCTGATGGGCCATTGCATCATTTCCTCTCCCCACCCTCTGGAAGCCCCACGGTCAGCTTGGACAGCATGACCTCGGGAAGCTAAGATGTCCCCAGGATCCACTGGGCCTATTATAACCTAGCTCACACGTGGGGCATCTGATTTACCTTAGTTTTCCCAGGATCATCCCAGTTGTAATACCGAAAGCCCAAAGAGAGTGCGGTGAATGGGTACAAATACACAGTTCGATAGGAGTAAGTTCCAACGTCTGACAGCAGGGTCGGGTGACTATAGCTAACAACAATGGACTGTCTATTTCAAACTAGCTGGAACTGAGAACTTGAAATGTTCCCAACACATAGAAATGATAATAGAGGTGATGAAAACCCTAAACACTGACTTCATCATTACACAATCCACACATGTAACAAAATATCACATGCACCTCACAAATACCTACAAATATGTGCATCAATAAAAATGTTTAAAAAACCGAAAGGCCCACATCCCAGGAAACTCCTCAATGCCAGGCAAATCAGGATTATTGATCACCTGACCACCCTCCAAAGCAAGCCCAGGCTTGAGGAGGCCGGGGCCACTTCCATCCTGCAATGTGCAGTGCCTTCCCTATCACCGAGAAGAAAAGAAAAGCTCCGCTTGGATGGTAGAGCACTGCTCTCTACAGAGAGCTCAGAGAAGAAGCAACTCTCCTGAAGCAGTCAATGCCAAGGAGGTCCTGCTGATTGAGGTTTGGCAGTGCAAGCCAGGAGGGGCTTCAGCCTGGACCATCAGACAGGCCTGGAAAGCAAGGCTCATTCAGCCCTCCCCCTTGAATTGAGAGATCCTCTTGCCTGAGCATCACACATGAGGCACATAGATTCAGGCCTCAGACCACGCCAGACTCCATGTTCCATCATCTCTGTTGCCCAAGCAGGCAACTTGGGGAGAGCTGAGGGAGGCTTCACATCCTTCCCAGGACTGTGACCGTCGTGATACTCACCTGGGGAATAACGGAGATCCATCTATTACTGTCCACCTCGATTGAGAGTTCGATCCTGATGAATGGCTCCCCTGTAAGAGCTGGCTTCTCTGTTGGGGGTCCTGGGATCTTGACTACACCCTGCCATCTTCCAAGTTGTGCTGGTTCTGCCAAGTGGCACCTGGCATGACAGCGGCTGGATCACTGTCACTGTGAACTGAGTGACCAGTGGGACATTTACTGAGATGGTGCTATGGTCTGAGTATTTGCACTCTCCCCAAAATTCACATGTTGAAACCGAATCCCCAGTGTAATGGCATTAGGTGGTAGGGCCTTTGGGAGGCCCATGTTGTGAGACAAATCTGTCCACACTGTGAGAAATGGCTCAACACACACACTTCATTAAATACAGCCAGCCAGCGATTCATAAACTCATTCATTCATTTATTCATTGGCTTGCCAATATTTGGGGGCACTTATGATGGGCCTGGCACTATCTTAGGTTCCCACAGGGAATTACAGAACATTTTAAACTGTGTAACATGGAAGTGCTGGGCACGACGCTAGCATGTGAAGATACCAACCTAATTCACATGGCTGTGTGAAGAGGGATGGATGTCATAAAAGATCTTCAAGGAATTTTTCTAGAAGTCAGATGTGTATTTTTTTTTTTTTTAATTTGAGATGGAGTCTCACTCTGTTGCCCAAGCTGGAGTGCAGTGGCGTGATCTTGGCTCACTGCAACCTCTACCTCCCAGGTTCAAGCAATTCTCCTGCCTCAGTCTCCCAAGTAACTGGGATTACAGGCACCCGCCACCATACCCACCATACCTGGCTAATTTTTGTATTTTTAATACACACAGGGTTTCACCATATTGGCCAGGCTGGTCTTGAATTCCTGACCTCAAGTGATCCACCTGCCTTGGCCTCCCAAAGTGCTGGGATTACAGGTGTGAGCCACCGCACACCTCGCCAGGATGTGTTTTTTTTGTTTTTTTTGTTTTTTTTTTTGAGACAGAGTCTCGCTCTGTCACCCAGGCTGGAGTGCAGTGGCGCAATCTCTGCTCACTGCAAGTTCCGCCGCCTCCCGGGTTGACACCATTCTCCTGCCTCAGCCTCCCTAGAATCTAGGACTACAGGCGCCCGCCACCATGCCTGGATAATTTTTTTGTTTTTTCAGTAGAGACAGGGTTTCACCATGTTCGCCAGGATGGTCTTGATCTCCTGACCTCATGATCCGCCCGCCTCGGCCTCCCAAAGTGCTGGGATTACAGGCGTGAGCCACCGCGCCCGGCCAGGATGTGTATTTTTAATATTATCATTTAGTTTGAGGAAAACAAACTAGTTGTTTGTTGGTATAGAGATACATCCCCCGAAAGCCATTAACAAAACCCCTCAACTATTAGCTTAAAACACGTCTCTGCATTTTATTTTAAGAAAACATAAACCTGGTCACAAAACATCTTCAGAGAATAGGATAAGTGAGGAAACAAAATGCATGGGAGTAGCAAATTTGGGGCCACGGTCATGTTCAAGGGGCGGAGCTGACATGAAATCATTTTGTTCCCGGAAAAGCAAGGTTAACTCAAGCTGTGAAGCCCAGATGGCCGATAGATTTACAGCCATCTAAAGAGGAGCAGAATCCTTTCAAGAGTTGAATTATGATGACTTGTAGGTATTGATTAGATGAGAACACCAACCCCGTATTCAGCAGAGAGTTAGGGAATGAGAAGTAGAGGGGAGATGGTGGTGGTGACCGTCTTTATGTAGTTTTCGAAGTCACTTCCGAAAAAGAAGATGAGGTAATAGTTGAATATGCCAGCGACGGACATGAGGAACAGGAAGAGTATGATGCGTTTCCCAAATATGTAGCCAGGGGTGCTGGAAGAGAAGGAAAAAGAAAACTGTAGATGCAGTGCAAATGACACCAATTTCACACACACAAAAATGTTACCCCTTTTAGATACATGGGGTTTAAATTACAGCTCCCTGGACTCAACAATGCTCCATTTTCCCATTTACTTCATACGAAGGACGGAAGTGTCTCAGCTATTACTAGCCATTGAACTTATTTCAAGCGAAGAGAGCCTAGACCTCAAAACCCATTACTGCGAGGGCTTTACTGTACCCGCCTGTCTGTGCTCTCATGATTTCCTTAACTCCAGAGCTCCTTGATGGCCTGAAGGTGGCAGGTTCTGTTGATCACTGGGCATCCTCACTGAGCATTAGGACCATTAAGACCCTCTCTGCAGCTGCCCCTAAGGACAGACACGTGTGTAATGCAGGACTGTGTTAGAAGTGAAGTTTAAATGAGCTGATAAAACCGGTGGAATCGGAAAGGTGCTTCGGCATCTGAGGGCTCATTGTATTCTCCTGAGGCTGCCTGGAGTAATTCATGTTTACATTCATGAGAGCTGGGCACCCAGCAATGGGAGACGGGCCCTTGCATTTTCGCGTGGAGAGAGAGACTTGGTTTCTGTTGTTATTGCTGTTGTTTGTTTGTTTGTTTTTGAGATAGAGTCTCACTCTGTAGCCCAAGCTGGAGTGCAGTGGTGCAATCTCCGTTCACTGCAAGCTCCGCCTTCTGGGTTTAAGTGATTCTCATGCCTCAGCCTCCCAAGTAGCTGTAACTACGGGCATGTGCCACCACGCCCAGCTAACTTTTTGTATTTTAGTAGAGATGGAGTTTCGTCATGTTGGCCAGGCTGGTCTTGAACTTCTGAGCTCAGGCGATCCACCCACCTCGGCCTCCTAAAGTGCTGGGATTATAGGCGTAAGCCACCACGCCCAGTGGAGACATGTTTTAATACACTCTATCCTTCTCTCCAAGGCACTAAATCCTAAACTGCATCCACCAGTGAGATGTGACCTCCTAATGGCACGCAGAGGCCACCCTGCGTCTGCCCTCCCTCTGCAGAGCCCTCGTCTGACTGCCACCATGTCTGGCCCATTGAGTGGTGCTAACAGGTTGGGAAAGTCCAAATGGCTCAGGAGGTTGTTAGTAAAGATCCCGGGAAGGCGCGCTTAGACAGTCAGGACCGCACAACAAGATGAGCCAGCTCAGCCCAGCAGCTAACTTCATGCTGCCAAGTGCCGTTTCCTGCCATAATCAGAGAGAGCAGCATTTGGCATCCACAGGTTTAATATTAGAAATCTTATCAGTTTGAAAGGCACCCTATATGCTCATAATATAACTCATAATTTATCATTTATCTTTTTTTTTTTTTTTGAGACTGGGTCAAGCTCTGTTGCCCAGGCTGGAGTGCAGTGGCACGATCTCAGCTCACTGACACCTCTGCCTGCTGGGTTCAAGCGATTCTCCTGCCTCAGCCTCCTGAGTAGCTGGGATTACAGGCGTCTGCCACCATGCCGAGCTAATTTTTGTATTTTTGGTAGAGACGGGGTTTCACCATGTTGGCCAGGCTGATCTCGAACTCCCGACCTCAGGTGATCTGCCTACCTCGGCCTTCCAAAGTTCTGGGATTACAGGCGTGAGCCACCATGCCCAGCCAACTCATAATTTTTCTACAGCAGGAGTCTGAAACTCACTCAGCCATTACGTATCAAGCTACTTGCTACTCAAAGTATGGTCCATGAACCAGCAGCATCAGCCCCCACTAGAAGCTTGTCAGAAATGGGAAATCTCAGGTCCCTCTGGAACCTAATGAATCAGCATCTGCATTTTAACAAGCTCCCCATGGGACCCACTCACATGGGAAAAGCACTGCTAGCTGACACCAGCCCTGTTCCTTGGCCAGCTTCATTCTCTCCCTGTTTTCCTGTTCAGTTATGTTCATGAGATAAGACATCTTTACTAGCTCCTTACGGGGGAAAATAAACATCCCAAAAGAGGGTGTTGTGGGCTGAATTAGGTCCCTTCCAAAATTCATATGTTGAATCCTTACCCTCAGTTCCTCAGAATGGGACTGTATTTGGAGACAGGGTGTTAGAGATAATTAAGGTAAAACGAACTCATATGGGTGGACCCTCCTCCAGTATGACTGGGGTCTTAAAAGAGGAGGAGATTTGGCCACAGACATGCTCAGTGGGAAGACAACGTGAAGACACAGGGAGAAGGTGACCCTGTTCAAGCCAAGAAGAGAGGCCGCAGGAGAAACCCACCCTGCCCACACTTTGATCTTGGACTTCTAACCTCTAGGACTGTGAGAGAATAAATTCTGTGGCTTGAGCCCCCCGGGCTGCAGTACTTTGTTATGGCGGCCCCAGCAGATGAGTACAGAGCCCCCTGCTAGTGCTGGTAAGGGAAGTGAAAATAAAATAAAGAAGTCCAAGTAAGGGATATTTTTTAGCCAGAGAATAGAGGGTTCAGATAAATTAAATTGTGAAAAGTCAAATATCGTGGTGGCTCAGATTTATCACACGAATGAGGCCACCATACGCTCATTACAGAAACAAGAAAAAGTGATTTGCGAAGCTGTTTTACGCTTAAGATAAAACCGAAGTGAAAAATGACATGGCCGCGCCTCCTGATGAAATAGTGGTGTTCCTCAATTCAGGTAGGATTTTTCCAAGGTCTCAGGGCATCTGGTCCCCGCAGCATTAGGACTGGGATGCTTTAACTCTTCCCAGGCCGTGCACAGGGTGTGGAAGATAAAAGCTCAGCTTCCTGCTCCCTCGTCTGCAGGGCTCAGGGAATGTGACCCCAGGTCGGGCACGTCATTAGCTGTACCTTTAAGTATCTCAGGTTTGGAGATGGGGCCACCGCTGTGGCAAGTGAGCATGGTTGCCAGATGCTGAACCTGCCCCAGGCTCAGGCCAAGCTGCGGAGAATCTGAAATGCTGTGAGCAGGGAAGGAAGAGCTTGGGGGCCGAGACAGGGCACACCAGGGTCATTAGCCCTTGAACAAGCAAGATATCTCTTTCATGTTTCTTTTTTTTTTTTTTATACCAACTACAGCAGACTCACTAATCTTTCATTGTTTCTAAAAGTTGGTACATAATTCTAAATGAGTGAGGAAGGTCAGAATTAAATTATTAAGCATCTGTTGGGACTTCCTTCAATTCTCACAGCCATCCTATGGGAGCGTATTGTGAACCTATTTTCCATCTAGGCAAACAGAGCAGAGAGCTTGCACGATTCGCCTCAGGTCCCACAGCCAGCAAGAGGCAACGTAGGTGTTCAGACCTGCCTGTGTGAGGCCAGAGTCCAGCGCTTTGCACTGCAGTGACTTCCTAAGGATGCCTTCAGACTTTGGAGACTAGGATTTGGCTATTAGTTTTGAAACAGCTGTGCCCTCCACAGGCAGCATAAACTTACATGAAAACACAAAAGCATCCTGCTAAACAATTCCCATCTCAAAGGTGCTAACCACTCCTAGGATGAGGTGCCGTAGTGTGGGAGATGAGGGCGCCCATGCACCCAGAGCCCTGAGTTCCACCCAGGCGTCATGGGTGGCTCATGCCTATAATCCCAGCACTTTGGGAGGCCGAGGCTGGCAGATTGCTTGAGTTCAGGAGTTCGAGACCACCCCACCTCAGCTCTCTGTGGCCCCCCACCAGTCACCACCCCTCTCCCACTTCCCACCCCAGGTTCTTAATGTGTACAAAATATGAGGTAGGAACAGAAAACACGACAGTCCCTTCTTGTTTTACAATTCTGTTCTTTTCAGAACTTAGGGAAGTCTCACTTTAAGCCTGGTGACCTCTAAAGAAAATAAAAATTGTAAGTTCTGTGAGGACAAGATATTTCTCCTCTGCCCACCCACAAATATCCAATAAATCAGGACCTCCACAAATATTTCTGAAGTGAATGAATCATTTCTCAGAAAAGAGAAGAGAACAGCCTTCAGCGATTCCCAAACTCCAGTGTGTATAAGAATCACCTAAAGATTGTGTTCTCTGAGAATGCAGAATCATCTGAGAATGCGAATGTTCAGGCTTCCTCTGGCAGAGATTCTGATTCATAAGTCTGGGATGGGGCCCAGGAATCTGTATCTTTCAAAAGCACCACAGATGATTCTAATACTGTTGTTTGGCGGGTTTCGCTTTTAGAAACAGCAGCCTTGATATCCATCTATGCTCCCCGGCCTTCCAAAAGAAGAATGTTTCTCCTCAAACTCTGGTGAAGTATCACCATACTCCACACTTGGAGGCCCACAGACTCTAGAACATTGATGCTGAGGAGGAGAAATGACAGCAAGGAATCAGTCTTCTTACGTTTTGAGAACTAGGTCTATGATTATTTTGGTGAGTTGAGTATTTTTGGTCTTGCAATGTGCCCCTGGCTCTAGGAGACACCTTGGGTCTCCTTGGGGAGAAAGGCTCTGTTATGTTCACTGTTATTCCTTCAGCAACTGACCTGGTACCTGGCACAAAGCAGGGAGCAAATATCTACTGAATGAATGTTGAGTGAATGAGGAGTGAGTGAGCAACTAAGGAGAAGGAGGAGTAGGGTAACCTGAGTTCACTGGCCTCAAGAGTTGGCAGTCATTGCCCACCCACCATTGAGCTGAGAACTTCAAATTGCCAAGAGGATCAGTGGGAGCCCCGACTGAGGACAGGACTCTGAGGGATAGGAAGAGGGAGCAACCTAGTGCCCACTGGGGAAGGTAGGTGATAAAAGGCCAAGAGTCAGTTGACAGTTGGTGCCAGGTGCCATTGAGTTTGGGCCCAGGTGATAGCTTAAATGAATGAGGAAGAAACCAAGATTCAGGCTGGGCATCATGGGTGGCTCATGCTTATAATCCCAGCACTTTGGGAGGCCGAGGCTGGCAGATTGCTTGAGTTCAGCAGTTCGAGACCAGCCTGGCCAACATGGCGAAACCCTATCTCTACTAAAAATACAAAAAATTAGCTGGGTGTGGTGGTGCACGCCTGTAGTCTCAGCTACTCAAGAGGTTGAGGTACAAGAATCACTTGAA